TGTTTTAACTCCTCCCAGCTGCCTCTCCCCTCTCGCCTCCATTTTGGGACTAGGCAGGGAAGCACACAATTTGCCAGCTGCTCCCTACTCACTAAGTCCCTAGATGGTGTGAACGGTTTGCACTCAGCTACTAATCCAAAGGTTGAAAGTTTGGAACCCACGCAATGGTGATGCAAGCAATTGACCTCAGTTACTCAGGAGCAAGTCAGTCTGTAGGTTCAGAAACTTCTAGATGCCATGGGTGTGGCAGCAGTATTTGTCAGTTACGGTGGTTCGAGTCTCATCAGAGTGGAAGGGATTGGATAGATTTGCCCTCATTCCTTCAGACAGGACAGATGTGCAGCTGGGATGTGTAGCCACTGTGATGGATGTGTCTGCCAAAGCTCAGTGTTAGGATTGACACAGCATGAAATAGGCAGAAAAGAGCCATAAGCCAGCTGCAAAGTTTCCTTAACAAAGGGAGTTCAGCAGAGATCCAGTGATTAGATTGAACTGGGAAACAGGTTATCAGCCTTTTCCTATCTTAGGTGAAGCAGATACTGACCCAAATAAAGGATTTATGTGTAAATTACTCAGCTGCATATGACAAAATAGGTAGAGAACTTTTTAGTCTACTCAGCCAGATGTTCATAGTGAAAGGAAATTGCTTGTCAAGATGGTTTGGCTGTACTGAAGATGCTTATGTGAGATCAAGTTGTTGACAGGGCTGCCTCATTTAGGATGGGGGAAGATAGATTTGATTCAGGGTGTCTCTGTCAGCCTAAGTAACACAGACTTACCTGCAGCATGGGGAAGAATTCCAGCACCCTGTTTCTTCCAGCCCAGTTGATGGCTGATGAGTAACTGTCTCAGAATAAAGCCTTTTCAGTTTTTGTGCCTCCCGTGGAAATAAGGAGCTCTGGTAGCATAGTGCCTAAGGCATTTGACTGCTAACCAGAAGTTTGGTGGTTCAAACCCACCACGCACTCCAGGGAAGGAAGACTGAGCAATCTACTTCCCTAGAGATACTGCCATGAAACCCAAGGAGGGGTCGCTATGAGTCAAATTGACTCAACGACAGTGAGTTTAAAAATTTGCCGCCTCAGGAAACCCAAAGGGGGTTGCTATGAGTCAGAATCAACTCGATGGTGGTGTTTTGGTTTGTTTTTTGTGAAAATAAATCAGGGGAGTTGTTGGAAGATACC